ATGTGATGCAAGGTAGAATACAGACATCGAAAGCTTTTTTCTTGGTCTCCAGTCTCAGTTCCTTGCTTTTCATGATTTCTTTCAGAGCCCAGTATTTTTTCCACCCAATCGCAATTCTTTTGTCTATTTCCTTTGACATTTGATCCTTTGGAGATATTATCTGTCCAAGATAGACGTATTCCTCTACATATTCAATATTTTGTCCATTGATGGTTATATCTGTAGGTACTGAGTTTGTCATCATTTTGGTTTTGCTCGTGTTGATATCAAGACCTACCTCCTTACTTATATCTACTAGGGTTTGCACCATGGTCTCCAGTACCTTAGGGTCTTCTTCCAATATAACAAGGTCGTCTGCAAATCTTAGATGATTCAAACGTACTCCGTTTATGTTTAGACCCAGATGTTCCCAGTCCATTTGTCTGAACATTTGTTCAAGTACTGCGGTAAACAGCTTTGGTGACAGCGGGTCACCTTGTCTGACTCCCTTTTCCATTTTAAAGACACATCCTATAGATTCTAGTCGGATACGCGCTTTACTTTGTTTATAAATGTTTTTAATGATGTTTATATAGGCTTTATGTATCCCTTGCTCTTCTAGACTTTTCCAAACGTATTCATGCTTGAGGCTGTCGAAAGCTTTGGAATAATCAATGAAGGCTATGTATATAGGTTTGTTATATTCATTGTACTTTTGTATAAGTTGTTTGATGGTATGTATGATGGTATGTATGGTCAATTGTACTAAAATTTTTTCTGAACCCTGCTTGTTCCACTGGTTGGTTTTCGTCGAGCCTGAGAGATATTCTGTCTAGAATTATTTTGGCAAAGATCTTATACAGGGTGACTGGTGAATTACTATCAATATTTAAGGAGCATACTCGGTACATGATTCTCATTCAATTTATGTAAAAAAAATTGGTACTTAATTTTTGACAAAATTTCCGTATAAATAAATAAAGTCTGTACACGTTCCAAGTGTTCCAAGTGTGGACGCGTGCGGCGGCGTGCTGATACAACAACACGCCGCCGCGCGCAAGTGTGTGTGTGTGTGTGTGTATACCTAATCTGTAGGGTGTTCATACGATGCGTAATTAATTACATAACTTTTGGTTAACTTTACTTAGAAGTTTATTCATATTTATGTTATATTAATTTTTATTTTGTCATATATGATCGTCAAATATCACGTCCTCAAATATCGATAGTAATTCACCAGTCACCCTGTATACATTTGAAATGAGCGATATAGGTCTGTAGTTTCCGATGTCATCTTTTGATCCTTTCTTATGTAACAGTATTATATGTGATTCTGCCCACTTGCTTGGAATCATGCTTGTATGTACAATCTCTTTGAACATATGTGTAAGAATTGGACTTATTTCTTCAATAGTACCTCTAATTAGTTCGTTAGTGATTCTATCGGGTCCTGGTGATTTTTCCAACTTCTGACTTTTTATAGCTTTTTCTACTTCCGATTGCATTATTTCTGGTATATCTTCTGTGTCTTGGATGCTGTAATTTCCTGTTTTATATTCTGCATTTGGCAAGCATATTTCTGTTTGATCTGGGCTGTGTTTTTGATATAATGATCTATAATAGTTTGTTGCTATATGTTGAATTTTGCTGCGGGACGTGGTTGGTAGTTTTTTACCTTTTAGTTTTGTTATCCATTCTTTTCCTTTTTCACGAAGTTCCTTAAGTGCTTTTCTTGTACCTCCTGTCTTCTCTATGTGCCTTTCTATAGTTTTGGTTCGTCTATTTATCCGGTCCCTTCTCATATTTTCGCGAATCTGCTTACTGAGGTCTGAAATTTCTTTTTGGTTTTCTTTGTTATTCTTCTTATAAATTAGGTTCCTTCTTTCTTCGATAAGCTTTATAGTTTTTTCGCTAAGAAAGGATTCTTTCAGTTTATTTGTTTGAAATTCTTCCTTCTCTTTAAGTTTGGTTTCTATTCGTTCGTATTTTTCGTTTAGGTTCATATCCGAGGTTAGAACTTCTATTAGGTCTTCTATGGTGTCTTTTGAGTTCCTGTTTCTACTCGCGTTTTGTAGGTAGTGCATTTGAACTGCTTTTGGTCTGGGTTTTTTAATTCCACTTCCATTTATACAGCTTCGTACCATGCGATGGTTGGTATTGAAATTTAGTTTTTGTACTACTGCCGTGTCAGTAAAGGCATGTAGATTATTAGTGATTATGTAGTCAATTTCGTTTCTAGTCTTGCCATCTGGAGAGACCCAAGTCCACTTGTTTTTAGCTTTTTTTCGAAATTTTGAATTGAGAATTGTTAAGTTTTGCTCAAGTAAGAATTCAACTAATTTTTCACCGTTTTTGCTTCTTTTTCCTGTACTGTATTTTCCTATTATATGATCTTCTCCTGGCTGTTGTGCGCCAACTTGAGCGTTAAAGTCACCCATAAGCACAATATTGTTTTTTGAATATTTTTCAATAACTTCTGTCAATTTTTCGTAAAAGTTTAATATGTCTTCTCTGTTTGCTTGTTCTGTTGGTGAATAGACTTGAACAACTGTCCAAATTTTTCTATGTCTTGGCAAATTAATATGTAGCACAGCTATTCTGTCTGATATTCCTTCAAACCCTATAATTTGATTTTTAAGTTTGATCTTTATCAAAAATCCTATTCCTCTTTGTCCCGCTATTTCCCCTTTATGAAACATAATAAAATCTCTTCTTTCTTCTATTTCTTCTCCTAATCTTCGCATCTCACTTATGCCCAGAATGTCCCACTTGATGTTTTTTTATTGCTAGCTCTAGCTCATGCAAACTTTCTGGTGTTCTCAAAGTCCGTGTGTTTAGTGTACAAATGTAAAGACCATTTCGTTTGAGGATATTTAATTTTGTATTACATTCAGATGTTGGTTTTGTTGATGTTAAAGTATTTATTGGAGGGTGTTGGTCAGCTTCCCCCACGGTGACCAGCCGGCTTGGGGTGCAATTTGTAAAATTTTCCTTTGTGTTTTTGTTTTTCTTTGAGTTTTTATGCTTATATGTACGTTTTATTGTATAGTTTTTTTCTAATGGATATAATTTTTTATTTTCTTCTTCGATCTTCCGGTTTCTGGTGTTAGTTGGTTGCTATTGTTTATTAAGGTCTGATGTTGAGTGCGACCTGTTCCTATACATCCGGTCAAAAGCATTTATTTTATTGATTTTGAGCTGTGTGTTCTCTATGTCGCTTGTTATGTTTGGTGAGGTGGATTCTTCTCTCTTCCTTTTATCTCGTGAGGCAACATTGTCTTTTTTTATTACTAGTTTATCGTACTTTATGAACGCAATATGACCTTTGCTTCTTTCTTCCTTTAGTTGGGGTACAAGTTGTCGTCTCTTTTCTAATACTTCCTTATCAAAGTCTTGTGAGACAAAGATTTTTTTAGGCAGTAATTTCCTGTTACGTAGTATGTATTCTTTTTTCCAGGTGTTTAACATGTTAACTAATATTGGACGTGGTTTCGTGCCGGCTTTACCTATGCGAAATGCTTTATTTATGTCTTGATTCCAAATTTCAATGCCTGCATCTTTTAAAACTTTTGATATAGTTTCTACTATGTTTTTGTTTTCTTTTGTCTCCTCTAAGCCATAAAATATCAAATTGTTTTCCCTTTTACTCTGTTCTAGGTGTTTGATTTTTGCGTTTAATGTTTGTACTTCACTTTTCAATATTATGTTTTCTTCTGTTATTGGTTTCAGTTTTTCTTCCATCTCTTTCAGTACTGCCTTCGTAATAGACTCGGTTAAAGTTGATGTTTGTTTCTCCATCTCTAGTTTTATTTTCGAAAATAATAATTCCATTTGTTTCTCCATTTTTTTTGTATCTATTTATTTTTTGTTTCAATTTATTTTTTGTTTCAATTTATTTTTGTTTTAATTTATTTTTTGTTTCAATATATATATTTTTTATTTCTTTTTTTAGTAGAAATTATAATTTTACCTGGTAACCCAGGAGTGTAACGAAACGCAACTTCCGCTTGTCAACGTTGGTACTGCGGAATGTCAACTGTCAAGTGAAACAAGTCAAAGGCAGTTGAATGTCACCTTGATTTGAAATATTATATGTTGGTTATGTTATCACACTAATATTAGCACTTTTGTGGATGTTTTCGACACTTTTGTGAAGTTGTGTTCGTTTGTTGGCTTCTGTTATTTGACCACTTGCACTGATTTAAGTTTTTATAGCGTATTTTAACAGTTTTATGAATATTAATTGCGGAGCACACTCAAACGCGTTTACACTTGTGAAAGCCGTAACCGGAAGTCTGTTTCGTACTTACTGTTTTTAAAACCAGATGTGGATACAAAGGTGAATGTTGCAAGTGAACACTCCACACAACACCTACCAAACTCACTATTAACTAGCGCACTCTAAGTCCCAGTGTTGGATAACATCATGTGGTCGTAAAAGAAACAGATTAATTATTAAACAATTACTGTACTTGCAATCTTCATGTTCAATGAGAAATTTATTAATTATGTATTTATAATTAACAAATACATATATTTATATTGTTTTTTTATCTTTACAGAAGAAGAAGGTTTTCAATTTAAAATATTCCTATGAAATAAATTCAAACGATATTTAGTGTTCATATTAATTGACCACTTCAGTTATATTTCAATCACTCTTTCTGAATGTTTTTTTTTAAAGTTTGATAAATGGGATATAACTTGGCAAATTAATCCAAAAACATTGATTACTTATTTAATATTTTTTTATTAATTACATTCTGATCGTTTTTTTTTTTCGTATTCATGGGTGACCTAACACCACATGCAGCGTCAGATAATTGGACAACTAATATTAATAATTAAATGTGCTTTACGAAACAGAGACACATAATATAGTGTATTATAAATAACAACTACAAAAATTGTTACACACTTTTCATTTCATTTTTTCATAATTTTCTAGATTATATTTAAAAACACCAGCTACATGTAGCTCATTTTAATACATTTATTTAACTTATATTATATACTTGCAGTTGAGGACACATGTGGACCCAACGAACATCTCAAGGACGGTATAAGCTGCAAGTCCGACTGTTGTCCCGGTGAGGACTGCCCCGACCCTTGTGCCAGCTCCTGTACGTGTGACCTCCAGTATCACAGAGTGTCCAACGGCTCCTGTATACCCTCGAGACAATGTCGTAAGGATCTGTTCAGTGATTAACATCCACAGAATGTAACTGCTCCCAGCAGCTTCTCTCTAAAGACATGATTTCTTTTAAACTCACACAAGTCTTCTTCCGTCCACCCCAGCTCCCATCGACTGTCCTCTCAATGAACACTTCGACGTCTGTCCCGTGTGTAATGAAGGTTGTGACAACGCGGTCGCGTCTGGTAAGAGATGTAGGTTCGTTGGTCGAGTAGGCACCACTGTGATCTGTGAGCCGGCGTGTCGATGTGATGATGGATACTGGAGGAACAATAACAAACGATGTGTGCCTTATGAGGAGTGTCGTGAGTCAACTATTTAATTTCGGCCTACCTTTTTAGTTCATTGTGTAATAATCCAAACATGTTAATAAACTTCCAAATTACTTTTCAGCTCAATTTCAGGTAGACTGCTACTGAACTGAAGAAACGATGAAAATTTGGAATAACTTCATGAAAACAATTACTTTTACGTCTCTTAGGCTGTTTCAATCATCATTGTTGTTTTTTAGATTAAGTTTAACCTGTAACTTGTAATTTGAAATAAATTAAAGTAAAACTTATGATATTTAAAAGTACTCCGGTGGTTATTAATTACTATCAATTAAAGTTTTAAGTTTTTTATAATAATAACAATAAAAACCCTATATTTTTGAAGACGTACTTACTTGAAATATGACTTAATAATTATATAATCCTTTCTTGCAAATACGACATCTGATATATATTATATAATATATAGTTGTTTACATAACTTAGGTACGAACTTTTCCGAACTTCATTTGTTTTATGTTCGGACATGGGACCAGTGTTCAATGCGTCTGCTTCTTCTTCCTACAGCTGACAGTTTAATGACACAGTAATATTATGTTCATTTACATAATGGGGTGTTTCGTTATTTTTGAGACTACAGTACTATTCCAATATGATTACTATTTTTCTATCAGCAATTTTATATATTTATTGAAAGACCGCAAGAAAATTATCCTCAACAATGATGAGTTTCAACAAATTGAGCAGCTTGATCATTATACTGTTTAGTTGTTCCTCACTTCCAAGTACATTGTCACTAACAAAATTCAGGTGGCTCAGAAAATTCCTATTTATACTAAGTCATTTTTTGGAACATTATACTCGTAGGCCCTTTACTGTATTTTATACTAAGTCTTATATACATCTCGGCTACTCAGAGCCTCAGAGGTGCTGTTATGTATTGTAATGGCAGTTAATGGCAGTTATTGGTAAAGACTTAAACAATTTTTGTGTTTTCGTGGTTAGAGATTGAGAGTCTGCATATTTTTTTTTTTATCTTTTTTTACCCACTGTGAATTGAGGGATCTCGTAAAATGGTAGTTGAGTCGACACCAAATAATCACACAAATTGAAAAAAAAATATTTTTTAGACATAATGTACCTAATTGTGATTTAAGATGGAAGAAGGTAAGATCCACGTACATTAGTATCTTTTAGTTTGAAATGAGTCTTCATTGTTTTATGGTTACACCCGACGCAGCCTTAGAAAGAAATAAGTTCTAAAATTTACAGTAACCGGCAAATCTTACGAGATTTAATGGAATTTTCATGACACGCCGAGTCCGGAGAGTGGAGACATCCACATCGCTAGTTAGGTTTGTCCAAAAACAAAAAAAAACTGAAACGCAAGTGGATCTACTCCAAACTTAAGTAATTAATATTTATAGGGATAAATATTCATAAATGTCATATGTACAATTATATTCAAAAGTAAACTCAGCAGAAATTGATCAAATTCTTAAATATTGTTTGTATTGAACAGTATGGCTAGTACCTAACAATGTGCTTTATCACTTAAATCTTACTGTAATTATTAAAATGAAACGAATTTTCCTCAATTAATGATAAATATTTATAATAACTACATTTAATATTAAAAACATCAAAGGAATAATAAAGTCGTTAACAGTTCGTGGTGTGTTATCATGACACGAAACTATTAAATGTTATTACTGGATGCACGAGCACCTTCAACAACAGCGACATTATAACACTCACTAGGCTGTCTGAAGCGTGAGTCATATAATGTTTACTATATATAATATATTATTGTACATCACATAAGGGCATTGAGACAGCATTATATTGCTTGTATGACGAAGAAAGGACTATGAAAACAAAAAATATGATTACTTTAAGCTGTCAAAAGAAACTAAGTGTAGTATAAAAATGTGGACCTTTCTTAATTATGGAAACAATACTTTTAGTGGTCCCTGACAATCTTATACACTTCAGTCACAGAAATAGTATAGTCATAGAAATGTAATTCATAGAGTATTATATCTGAATAATTTATAATAATATATCTTCAGAGAAACAGTTCTGAACAAAACACCAGTCTTATGAAGCCTCTCTTCTATATAAGAACGATCTTTTTATTACAAACTTCATTGCTTCATATCAATTAGACATGACGCGTTCAGTCGTCTTGTTAGTGTTGTGTTTGAGTATTTTGTCTTGTTATGGCAGAGGTAATTGTTACTTTTTATTTGTTTCTCATATTTATTAGGGCAACTTTTTATTATATTTAACGTATTAATTAAATTTATTTAGCAATATCTTATAACTAGTTTATGATTTTGGGGAAGCAGTTTATTGATGCGTCTTCCCGAGATAGAACTGCTTTTTTGAAATCCCTTTACGTCACTTAATTAACTCTCACTGACTTAACGAATAAACAAGAACTAAAACAGACCTGATGCAGGTGTCCCTAATAATAATTTAAATCTGGGCACACGAAACAGATCATACTAGAAAATATAGTGCTTATTGCTAAAGTTAGATGAAACTTTTATATAAATACTGTGAAAAGTCTTAGATAATAACTATCCTATGTTCTTTCTCAAGGTCACCTCTATCTCTGTACCAAATTTCATTAAAATCAGTTCAGTGGTTTAGGCGTGAAGGCGTAACAAACAGACAGACAGACAGAGTTACTTTCTCATTTATAATATTAAGTATTTAGTATATAATATTATCAGCAATTAATATATATTAAGTAACTAAAATTAAACTATTTCTTTTCAGCTAAACGTACAAGAAGGTCTTCTTAAAATTAAGGAACAGTGAAGACTTTGACTGATTTTTACTGACTATAGAAAAATTGTAATATTAATTGAAAGCTTTGTTTCTTTCACCAAAAAATAACTATTGACTCAAGAATAACTTGAGTTTTATACAAATAGTATAAATTCGCAAATATTAATATGACATGTAGTCATTGAGCTTTACTACTATAATGAAAATCATATGTTTTAATATAATATGTGGCTATACGAATAAAATATATATTGAAATCTTATATCTATAAACTCTTACAACATTCCTTGGTTCTAAGATACAAGCAAACGTGTCAGGACATCAGGGTAGACTTGAAAAATAGGAATTGTTATTTTTATAATTATATACATTATAAATATCACACAAAGATCTTGAATAACATATATATTAGAAATACTAATAAACTTCTCGTATGATGTTCGTTACTGCGGTCCTCATGATCATCGGAGTTAGAAATAATTATTACGACAATATCCAGTCAGCTTATTCTCCGTTCTGGTGTCTTACAGAAAATTCTAATTGTTTCTATAACTATTGTTGACATTAACATAATGACTCTATGATGTAGTTGAATTATACCTAATACTTAATATGTATAATCTATATTAGATCGAATACGAACATCATTAAAATCAAATAAAATATAATGTATTTTTATTCATATACTTACTTGGGTTTTTACGCTTTTGAAGACTTTCGTGTAATTTCAAGGGGCATCGACTATAAAGATATTTTTATAATGTAAATGGATTGATCTCCCAAAAAAATTAACTATTTTACACACTTTACACACGATTCATAAAAACTTCACATATTCATTCGTTTATTACAGATTAGTCAGTATTGTGATAATAAGTAGATATAATATAATTTGAAAATTCTAAATTATTTTATTATATTTGTAAATACCTAAAAATATAATAAGGGGTTGTCCATTAATCACGTGATCTTTTTTTAGCATTTTTTAACCCCCCGCCCCCATTGGTGATACGTAGTGAGGTTTAAGACCACCCCCCCCCCCCTTCTCAACATCACGTGTATTTTTAGTACCTACAACGAATTATAAATTTTCTGGATATTATCTTAATTTAAATACAGGTATAAACTATAATCTTATTTTATTCTGAAATTAAGGACCATAATAAATTAATATTTGTTTAAAAATCGCCGTTAGACGAAAAAATAAATACACGAGATATCTTACATGATCGTTACGTGATCGTTATAGATTGCAACTACTGTCCTTACTTTCTATAGAATAGTAAAATAAAAAATAAACAAACTGTTTTTACATTATTATTTTTAGAGGTGGTAGAGCCTAGCTGTGGTTAGTAACTACAGCTCGAACATGGGCTGGCTCGACCGGGGAAGTACCACCCTCTCGCAGAAAATCGGCGTAAAGTAGTCTTTACAAGACTGCGTTTCGTCCGGTGAGTGAGAGAGCCGGCTGCACTTTCCCTTTTCCCACCCTTTCCTTTTCCTCCCTTTCCCACGTTTTCCTCCCCCTTTTCGCCAATGAAGGGCGGCAACACATCCGCAAATCTACGTTGCGGATGTCTATGGGCGACGGTAACTACCTACCATCAAGTAGGCCGTCTGCTCGGTTGCCCCCTTTCCCATAAAAAAAAAAAAAAAAAATAGTAACTAGTTTTTGCCCGCGACTTCGTCCGCGTTAGTTTGGTCAAGAGTAATATATGTAGGTATAGCTGACCAGGCGAACTCTATTCCTAAATAATCAGGTTTTTCCTGTTTCAATCAAACAGAACGATTGACATATTAGTTAGTTGTCTAATCTAATGTCAAAAAAAAACATTTGTATGGGAAATAGAAAAGGGCTGTTTTTATGGTTTTCCCGGCAATTATTCCAATTTTTCTCACCTTTTAAACCTGCCCTGGACTTCCAGGAGTATTTCAAGACTAAAATTAGCCAAATCAGTTCAGCCGTTCTCGACTTTTAGCGAGACTAAGGAACAGCAATCCATTTATGTATATATATATATATATATAAAAGATTATTACATTTTAATATTAATTACATCCAGTGTCTGAAAGCTCAAGTCCTTTTGTCGTTTTTATAATGTTTTTGAAACGACTGCCATCTATGATCCAACTGTATTTCTCTAATTACGTTTAAATAGCAAAAGGAATTATTATTAGGTAAACTCATTAGCAACAAAATAATTTATTTTATATTTACAAGCGAGCATAGAAAATATGTCAAAATAGTATG